CCAGCTGCCAAAATTATTGGTATAAACAAGAAAGCAGGTGCATAAATAATGTCACAGCAGGACCGGGCATTTCTCTGCCTCAGAGCTGGAGTTACTTAAATACAGGGAGAGGAGCAGAGACCTGAGCAGAGCGAACAGGAGGGAGCAGATCAGGTCCTGAGACCCAGCAGAGGAGGGGGAGGCAGCCTGAGCTCATGTTTCCTCGTTAGGACGCAGCGGGTGTCGGGCTGGATGCTCCCGTCCAGCAGTGCCAGGGACGGTGGCACCGCAGGGACCTGGGGACACACTCGGTGCCGGCCAGATCGGGAACCAGGAGGAGGATGGTGCCACGGGAGCACGTTCCCTGGGTAAGGGGAGATGGATCCTGCAATAAGGAGAGCCACTGCCGGGTTATTCTCACCCCACAGCAGGAGTGAGGTTTAGGCAGAGCCCACATCGCTTATCGGCATGATGTGGACCATCTAAATCTCTTCCTTTCTCCTCTCCATGCTCTTGTCTCCTTGCCCTCGGTCCTCAGGATTATTGTGTGTGCACAAAAGAGCCTTGGTGATTGCTTACTTCCCAGAACCCTTGAAGGAGCTCTCTGGCGTGCTGTAAATGCAGTGAGAGGCAGCCCCAGCCACACAGACCCCACGGTCTCACCAGACAATACAGACACGGGTGAAGAGGAGCACGGCAGATGCAGATGAGATGAAGTGGCTTGCTCCGTGTCATCGGGTGACCCCAGGACAGCCTGGGAGTTGGAGCAGGCTCCCCTGGCTCTCATTCCAGTGCCTCCAGCCCCCAGAGCATCTTTCCTGATGGCCAAAGAGCCTCTTCCCAGAGCAGCAGTGGGCAGGGGGCTCTGTGCCTTGGATGAAGGCAGTTTTGGCTTGGGTACCAGGTTGGGAACTGGTGATGGAGACACCACCAGCTACCAGTCCTGGCTGCAGGGGGGTCCCAGTTTGCCCATCAGAGCCCTTCGGGGCTAACCCCAGCATGAGCTTGGCTTTAACCTTTCTGGGATGGGCTGCAATCACCTTGTTTTCCTCTTTGAAATGCGTTCATGGGCTTGTAAGAGCAAGACCTCTAACCCCATACCCTGCTTTCATGTGATTCCACCCACGAGTGATGTCCTCTGTGTGTGCAGAACATGGACCCTGCACACACGGACAGAGCCCGGGCGGCGGAGGAGTCGCACGAGGAAGGAGATATATTTCATAGTGATGGTGTCGTCATCTCAGCTATATTTTTCCAGGGTTGACATAAAACCTCTCAAGTGACGACAAAGGTGTGAAATATAGTTGGTTTGAGTGTGGAAAAAAACCAAAATGCAGAACACAGGAGCACTGACACTTGGTATCTTCGGTACGGCCTCTGAGTATTATTTATGGCTCCTACCGATTTTTTAAAAATTATTTTCATCTTTTTATGGTTTCAATCACTTTCTCTGCACAGCGTTGGCTCTTATTTCTGGGAGGCTGTGGCAGAATGTGCTGGAGCTGGATGGTCTTTAAGGTCCCTTCCAACTCTGACCTTGCTGTGATTCTATGAATTGCTGGGCCACCTTGTACGGTAACTACAAAGCTGATTTTTGGCTGGGTAGCCCTCTCCATCCCCTTCCTTGCCCACGTCCTTCCCGGCAATTAGCCAGAGCCGCGCCGTGAGGGCATCTGCCCTTTCCCTGGGCCCAGCAAACCCTCTCCCATCCAGCCCCAGGCTCTGGAGATGTCCCTGTGTCCCCCCTTACCCGACGATGAATGCAGGGAAATGACTCCTCCTCAGAGAGGCTGAAGGAGGGTGTTTTCACCTGAAGGTCATGAGTACTTGTCTCAGCTTCCGTCAGCGATGGCGCTTGGCCCGGAGCCTCTCGACTGGGGGCATCTGTTTGCCTCTTACTTTATTTTTTTCTTCCTCTTCTTTGTCTTTTCTTTTACAGAAAAGATTATTCAAATGAATATTCAGTTTTATTCATTTGAATAAAAAACCCCAACCGTTTGACTCTGTTAAATGCTTATCTCTTAAATAGAGCTTGTTAGCTTCCAATAATAGCTTCATTCAGAAGGATGCGGTATAATTTCATTTTAAAATGTGTGCTCCTTGACAACCGGAATCCTATTTATGTCACCATTTTAAACAGCCTTCTTTGTTTTGTGTTAATCTTTTTCATACATTTTCTGAGAACCATTTTTTTGTTGACTCTTAGTACCTCTCAGAAGAAATAATTGTCTATTTAGTCCAGGAAGGTTTCTGAGAGTTTTGGTAATTTAAAAATGAGCATGTATTCATTATGCTAACTAATAAGGCATGCACGCGGTAATATTTTTTGGCGTGTACAGTTATTAAAAGTTGGAATCTGATATTCAAAAAGTGAAACAATAACAAAAAAGAGCCCATTACCCGTCACTTTTATGAAGTTTTTAATTCTGAGGCATATGATCTCTTGGGGATTGTTCATTTGAGGAGCGATAGCGTCTCTGGAGTAGCATCCTGTGGATTTTAAGTGCCTGTTTGCGTGCAGGCTACGTCCTCTGGTCGCTTCCCAATCGCTTAAAGCTGCCGGTAATGGTAAAAGTAAAATACTTTTACTTCAAATACTCTGGGTCTGTCCTGCTGGAGCTGCATCCGCCGGCTCCGGAGGGGAGGGGATAACGGTGGTGGTGGGATTGGTGGTGGTGGGATTTCTTACAGCCCCAGTCTGGGCTGGTTTTTCCTGGCCTGCCCCAAACCACAGGCATCTTTTAAAAACCCGCAAATGAGCGCTGACACGTATGGATTGTTGGTTTATTCTCGTTAAAAAATCTGTAAGTGCAGGAAGCTGGGTGGCCACCTGATCTAATCAGACAAGCAATTCCTCGATAAACTTGTGTCTGAGCCACATGGAGCGGGTTGAGAACGGGAAGCTCGTTTCCGAGTCCCAACGCGTGATGACTGCGGTGGCCTTCCTCCCACCGTTAGGGACCTCAGGTCTCTAAATTCCCTCTCTCTCCTCCATCCTGGCAGGGAGACCTGACAAAAGTTGAAAGAGAAATCCTCAAAACTGCAGCACTCGCTAACGAGTTGCTAATGATGAAGGTGTTGCTGGGGCTCAGACAATTAATGACTTTGTGGCCCAGGATGTGCCGTCCGGTTGCGCTGGGCAGAGCCGGTCCCCACGGCGCAGCGTGTGCTGGGATTCCTGGGATGCCATCTCCAGCCAGTTAACCACAAAGATTTCAGTTTTAACTACAGGTCTGTTTAAGGTAGATTTAAATGGAGCAATTTAGAAGGCAAATGAAAGACTTGAGTAAAATACTTCAAGCTGCTACATGCTCTCAGTGCAGAGTACAGCCCTGTTCTGAGCGCTGGGTTTCGCGTGATGTGCTGTGGGGTGATGTGTTGTGCCTTAGAGGAGATCTAGAAACCATTTTGTGTGTTTTTTCCCCCAAGAAGAGGGTCCAAAGAGGGTCTGACCCTTGCTACATGCACTGTGTGTTCCCAAACAGGCCGGCCGGGAGCTGCTGGGATCCAGCCTCAGCCAGTGCAGGATCCAGCACATGCACTTCCCAGCTTCAAATGTTGTAGCCTGAAGAACATGTCTTGTGGCTGGAGGTTGCCAAAGCCCATATAATATTAATATCTGCTGCTGTGCCCCGTCAAAGCAAATCCAGTGTGTGTTTAAAAGGATGCTTTGGGACCCCAGCACAGAAGCTGCCTGCTGCTGGGCGCTCACTGGGAGCACTGGGACTGGCAGAGGGTCAGGGATAGCACTTGGGACCATCAGGGCATCCTTGGTTTTCCTTCCTTCCTTCCTTCCTTCCTCCTTCCAGCACCCACGGCTGCTGCTGGGGCTGCCCTGGCTGCATCCCCTCGGGGTCACAGCCCTGTGCCACCAACACCTTCCACGTGCCGTTCACCAGCAATGAATCCAGCAGAGTTTTCCCTGCAGTTTGGGGGATGAAGTTCATCCTGTTGTTACGTTTTTTTAAGATTTCATTAGCTTAATTGGTGTCGGTGTCGACCTATCAAACCTTTGCCAGAAAGGTAGCACGTAAGGTCATTTTTTTGTTTGTTAGCTTGATTCTGCATATTTTTTTTAAGGGGACATGGGTGTGTATAGTGGTGGTGGGCTGCCAGAGAGCGTTAGTGTGGGGTGTCTGCAGCCACAGGCGGGCAGCAGCATCAAACCACCCTAAACCACCCCAAATCCACGGCTCCTTTGAAGCAGCAGCAGCGGCGGCGAAGAGAGGAATGATTAGATCAGAAGCCTTAAACGTAACGGGTTCTCAGAGGCCTCAGGATGTCCTGATGAGGTATTAGAGGAAGTAATTCAGGAAGAAAGGGACAAATAACCACCTCCGGAGCCCGACTGACCCGCGGGGGCGGCTGCATCCGCACGGGACGGAGCTGCGGGGACGGACGGGTGGTGTTTGCTCAGAGACACAAAGTGCTGCTGCGTGTTTGGGGAAGAATCAGTGGGTTTTGTGTTTTTTTTTTCCTCACGAAGGGTAAATGAGGAATCATCTTCTATCTTCCTGGATTTTTATTTTTTTGGGGTCGGGTAATGAGTCAGCTCTAATGGAGAGGTCCCATGGAATTAAACAAGAGATAAAATCAATATGGTTCCATAGAAATATAATTGGGTTTTGTAGAGATTGCTCTTAAAAACCTATAAGGTGTAAAAGAAAATACAGCCTTATTGTAGTTTCTGAGCCATCATGTAACCAGGGTGTAACTATCCATTAAATTCTGCAGGATGGATCAAAAAATCCATAAGGAGGTTTTAATTCTCCATTAAATCCTATGGAAGAGCTGGAACAGAACCGTATTAATTTTCCCCGAGACAATGCTTCTTCCCTCCATTAGTCTGTAACCAGCTCAGCAACAGCTCCACAGACAGCAGGTGTATTTACACGTGCAGATCTTTATGAAAGTTCTCCAAAGTCCCAATGGCTAAGTCATGCTTTATTAAAATGTCTTTGTTTAACTTAACTAATATTTTCCTTTCCCCCTCCCCTTTTTTTTCTTTCTTTATGAAACAGGATTTGGCTTCGTAACTTTTGAAAATGAAGACGTGGTGGAAAAAGTCTGTGAAATTCATTTCCACGAAATCAATAATAAAATGGTGAGTTGGTTTTGTTCCGTAGCGCGTGTCGGTGGCAGTGACCCCCCGGCTTTGTCACAGGCAGGTGCCAGGCCTGGGTGGTAGCCCTTCGGGATGACCTTCTCCCCATTAATTAATTAATAATGAAGGTTAATTGGGTGCTGGGCACACTGTGCCTGGCGGAGGTGTCACGGGGACAGGCTGCTGAGCCTTGACCATGGCTTGACCATGGCCATGGGACCCTGCTGCCATCCCCTGCCAGCAGGAGAGGTGTCTGTCCCCCTACAAGTGCACACATTCTCTGGGGGCTCGGGCAGCCACCCTGGAGCAGGTTTTGGTGTGGGAAGCCAAAGGGCTGAAGATGGTGTCAACCAACCTCTCAGCATCTTGGCCAGCCTTGGAGAAGTCCTTCTTCTCCCGCCCTGCTCTTGGGAAGAGCTGTGGCAGCCACCAAAGGGCCGTGTTGGGGGTTTTTGCGGGGGAAGTGGACTGGGGAAGCTGCTGCAGACCTTGGGAAATCCCAAAATAGCTGCTCTGCTCGGGCTCCCGAGTCCTGGTGCTGCTCTGACGTTGCTGCTGCCCATGGACCATGTCCCTGGGGAAGGCACGGCTCTGCCATCGACCCACAATCACTTTCCACCCAGGAGCCAGACCCGGGTGAAGTTTCCCCGAAACGACAGTCGGGTCCCAGGTTGTGGGTTGCCCTGTCACTAAAGCCACTGAGCCAGATGAAAAAGGGCATTTGTATTTCAATTGATGCAGTAACTTTGATATTTTCAGCTAAAATATTCTTTTTCTCTTTGTCAAAACATCCTTTGCTTCTCAAATGTGTATTCAGATATGCATTGTATATTGGTCTGATATGTGTTCACAGACTTTAAATTCAATAATAGAGCTTTTAGTGTGGATAAGATCAAAGCAATCTCCTTGGCATATGCTGGAGGCCTGATTCAATATTTGACTTGCTAATTTTTCCCAGGGCACTGAAATAATATTCTTCATATTGTTCCTCACTGCAGCGTGCATCTGAAATAAAAGTAAGGGTCCCCTTGGCAAAGCGAGGGGTGGGATGGTGGGGCTGGGGCAGGTCCCTCTCAGGGAGAAGCCTCTGGTTCCATCTCGGACGGGAGCCACGGGCTTTGCCTCTGCCCCATCCCAGCATCTCGCTGCTTCCCCAACCTCCTCCTGGGGGTCCTGGGGGTCCCCTGCCCTCCCCAGCCATGCCATGGGTTGTGGGGGAGGCTGGTTCTGCTGCGTCATTACTAAACGTTGATTAATCTGCCTTAAAACAAAACAAAACAAAAAGAATGAGCCGCAACCGCCCCCACCCCAGACACCAGACCCAGCGACAAATTAGAAACGCTTGGAATGTAAATTTAGGTGAGATTTGGCAGTGGGGAGGGAGGGAAGAGCTGAGGTGCCACACGCCAGGGTTTCACTCCAGGGTTTCACTCCAGGGTTTTCCCACCGCTTCGTCGCGGGCGGGTGTGTGTCATGTGGGATTCCATAGGTTTAGTTATTTCACAAAATAGGTTTTTTCCTCTGGAGCAAGGCTCAGCCTTCGCCTGGTGCGGGTCCGCCCTGCCCAGTGTGGCCCTGGAGAGGTGCTGGATGAAGGCTGGAAGGAGCAGATGCCGGTGTGTCCCAGCACCAGGGCAGAGCACCTTGTTTGATGCTTCTCCTGCGCTGCACAGACCCCAGCCGGTTGTGGGCAGAGCCCTGCATGGGGAGAAGTGGTGGGAGGGCTGTTGGGAGGGCTTCTTCCCAGGAAAAAACAGGCATCAGAGGAAGGTAACAGCAGCGCAGGGAACGTGGGGGACAGGACAGGGCACGAGCACTCAAAGAACATGGCATTGTTCAGCCTGGAGAAGAGGAGGCTCCAGGGAGACCTTATAGTGGCCTTTCAATACCTGAAGGGGGCCTATAGAAGAGCTGGAGAAGGACTCTTTGCCAGGAAGGGTAATGATAGGATAAGGGGAAACGGTTTTAAATTGGAAGAAAAAAGATTCAGATTAGATATCAGGAAGAAATTTTTTACTATGAGGGTGGTGAGAGCCTGGCCCAGGTTGCCCAGAGAAGCTGTGGCTGCCCCATCCCTGGAGGGGTTCAAGGGCAGGCTGGATGGGGCCTTGAGCAACCTGCTCTGGTGGGAGGTGTCCCTGCCCAGGGCAGGGGGGTTGGAACTGGATGATCTTTGAGGTCCCTTCCAACCCAAACCATTCCATGATTCTATGATTCTATGAACATCCCAAAGAGCAGAAGAAATGGTGTAGGCTGTTGGTGTTTTGTTGTCGTGGGTAATTAAAAGATGTTCTTCCTGGCTCTGTGTGCACCATCCAGATGCCACGACGCTCTGAGCGTTCTCTTCGTGTCGCTTCTCCTGCAGCACTGATTTTAAAAGCAGCCCACGAGGGAGGAGATGAGACATGATCCTGTCTCGGGACTGACTCATCGTGTTGCTGATGTGTCTGCGGATTAATTACCAGGCCCGTGCAGGGGCAGGAGAGCTCGTGCGTCCCCGTGTGACAGCGAGCTGGTGCAGGTGGCCGGTGGTGACACACGAGGGTGTGAGATGGCCACAGGGGTGCTTGGAGATTGACTTCTCCTGTTTTGTTTTTAACTTGTGCCCCTCTAGAGCTGAGCTGAGGAGGGGTTCTCGCAGCCCTGGCTCAGGGCGATGGGGTTTGTAGCCACTTGGGTGAGGTGGGACATGGACACCCCATCCCCATCCCTATCCCTATCCCCATCCCTGGGCTGCTTGGCTGGGACATCTCACAGCTCCACGGGCACCAGCTGGCCCCGGTGGGACATGGACACCCCATCCCCATCCCTGGGCTGCTTGGCCAGGACATCCCACAGCTCCACGGGGACTAACTGGCCCTGAGCTGGCTCGTTCTCCTCTTCCAAACGCTGTCATTTCCCAAGACACGGGGGCAAGCGAAGGGTAGCGGGGCTGCCGCTGCTCACCAGCCTATTTCCAGCCTCCCGTCGCCCCGGCAGGCTATTTTTAGCCCACCCATTCTGCTTCTGTTGCCATCCGTAAAGCTCAGAATGTCAAATGTAATATTAAACGAGCAATGCGAAAGTGAAAAGAAAATGCCAGAGAGGTATTTAATAAATGAAACTTGGAATTTGCGTGGGAGGCCAAAGATGCTCTGCAGACATCGCGAGGGGGGGGAACAAATAAAACCCAAACAAGTTGTCCCCAGAATATTGTTCCTCTGATGTGAGCGAGCTGCTCTGCAAAGAGAAATGTGGTTTTCTAAGACATGGGTGCAAAAGGAGGTGGAAAAGAAATGGGCTGGAGTAATCAGTGGTGCTGGTGAGAGGGGCAATGAGCTGGGCCTTTGCACTTGAAATCAGGGTCTCAAGTCCAACTCTGGAGCAGCCAACAAAAATGTTGGGCTGTTTTAAAATAGGCTTTGATGCCACGTAGCACCTGTGGCTGTTCCTCTCTCTCATGGTGGGGTTTTTATTGTGGTTTCTTTTTAATGTATCAGTGCTCCTCAGGCTTCTCCCTGGACTGGCACCCTTCGCTGTGTGTGACGTTTTAGATGTGTGTCACATCTAGATGTGTGCCTTTGGGTTTTCATCCGTAGTCTAAGGTACCTCCATCCCTGGAAGGACCAAGCTCTGCACCACTTGGGGAGGGCAGCACCAGTGTCCAAGGTCCCTGCAGTAACTGGGAGTGAAGGAAACACAACGAGCAGCCACCAAACCACCTCCAAACTTGCACAGATGTTTTGAGAAGCCACCGGGTCCTTTGCCAGCTGGACACCACAGGAGGCAGAGGTCAACCCCCAGATGTGGTGTTGGGCCTGGTGTGTGGTCCTGCTGCCTCTCCAGCTGGTGTCTTACTGGTGGTGGTGGTGGGAGAAGATGCGTGGAGCACGGTGCAGGGGTGATGGATGTCATGGTGCTCAGCTGGAAGTTGCTTGAGTGCTGTAAGCATGTTTTGATGCTTTTGTTCCCTGCTGCTCGTTGTTCCCTGCTGTAGGATCACCACCAGCTTGTGGAGCTGGAGGATGACACGTGGCTGGGTGTTGTGGGAGAGCCTCCATGGTCACCGCAGTGAGGTGTCAAGAGGCTGGTCACGGTGACAGGTTCTCTGCAGAGGGCTCAGGGCAGGAGTGAGGGTGGTAGGATGGTGGTGCTGGGCAGGCAGGTCCCCAACCAAGGTGTCACTGCCGTTGGTGGTGAGGCTGAAGATGCAGTGGCTTTGGAAAGCCCATCTGTCAGCTGAAGGACACTGCAGACGCTGCAGGTTGGGTGCCTTCTGCAGTGATGCTCTTGAATGTGCTTTAGATGATGTAGCTTTTGAGCTGTGCCGTGACGCAGCCCTTGCCGGGGTCTCCAGGGGTGGTTGGGTTCTCCAGCCCACACAGGACACCAGCGCTGGTGTTACTGGGCGTTCTGGGGACAAACTGAATTGATGAATTGCCAGAAACCCTGGCAGACTCCTCTGCTCTCCTATAGCCTCTCCTCTTACGGTCCGAGAACACGCTGAGCAGCTTCTAACCCCATTATCCCCACCCCACCTTTGTCAGGGATCTAATGGGTTTTTAAAATATGCTTAATAACCTTCCTTCTGTTGCCTGGTGTGGCCAGATAACTGGGGGGATACAGGTTTCTCTGGTAGAGGAGGGCTCATTCTGGCTTAGCCCTGGCACGGACGACGTGGGGTCCCCGAGGGGCTGGGGTCTCAGCTCGCGGGGAAGCGCACGGCGCGGGCGAGACAAAGTTGCCTTGTCTTTGGGTGGTAAAATAGGGGGGTTTTTGTGCATTGTGAATATTGTGCGCGTTCTGCTTTCCTCAAAATAGCCCTGGTTTCCCTGGAAAGCTGCTGGCCATGGGTTTTCTGAGACAGCCTGGTGCTGAGAGCTGACAGCCTGTTTTGTTGCGCTGGGTATAAGAGGCTTTTCACTCCCCATCTCAGCCCTCCTGGGCTCTAGTGGCTTTGACTGCTCGGCTTGACCCAAGAGTACCCCAGTGTAACGTTAATTCTCCAAACTAGACTAAACAAAAATAGTGAATTTTAGTTTTCCTGCTTTTTTTTTTTTTTTTTTCAGCCCTAGAGTTAAAACTTTCTTTGTTAGGCTGCTGAAAGTGCAGCACATCCCTCGTACCGGGGAGGCGGAAAAAAATCTGGAAATTATTAAGATGTACAGAAATGCTGAGCTGAAAGTCTGTGCGAGATCCAGATTTATGAGCAGAGCACCCGCGTGGGGCAGGCTCTGGGGGGTGATTCGGCACCGGGCTGAGGGCTGGCTCCTAAATCCAGGTCCATTCCCTCTTGGAGAAGCCCCATCACACGTCCCGCTCTGCCGGCACACGTGTGACATCCCCCTGTCTCCAGGGTTTATCCTCATGGTAGCCCTGGTTCTAACCATCTCCATCCCCTTCCCCACGGAGGAACGGGCTGGCTTCTCACAGAAAAGCTGCCCTGGCCCCTTTCCCCCACAATTTTTCTGCCTCTTTTGGGGAGGAGGCACCATCTGAGCCCACCACTGGTTCCCTGATGTGGTGCTTCACCTCCTGTTGATTCTTTTCCCCGTTTGCCGATGGGATGATGCACGGGCAGCTTCTGCCCAGCACCCCAAGGCCTGAGGGTGCTGAATGGGGATTGTAGGAATCCCCCCAGGATGTTCTGGGGGCTGGGGTGACGCGGCCCCTTCCCGAGGGATGGCAGAGCTCCCGCTCCCGTGTCCTGCATGGCATCTCTCCCAGTGGGAAAGAGCCTCTGCCGTGTAACGGAGAATATTCTTGCCCTCAATATGGGGTGTATTTGTTTACAAAGGCTTAGGAATTATTTTCCTTTCCTACTGGTGACTTTTTCCTCCCCTTTAAATCCCAGTTAAAACTTCTTTGCAGCTCGCTGCCGTTCCCTTTATGTCCTCGTGTGCTGTGAAAATCATAAATTACGCTAGTCTTTCAGAGAGCAGCGGTAGGCTGTTTTGTGGTTGCAAAAGCTAATTACTGGGTTATTGTTTCTAACGGTGCTAATCCAAACTTCATTTTCCTGTTAATTGTCCGTCGAGCCAGGCTAGATTGTTTTTATCATCCTGACTGTTTGCAGCGCGAGGTGTAACCAATGCCGCCGCCGTGACATTTGGAGCGGTGGCGAACCCGAAAAACGCGGTTGTGAAATGAAATGACACACTCGTGGTGCTCACACACACCCCGGGCCCTTTGGCTGGAGAAATGAGATGGGCATATTCCTGTTAAATGCCCCGTTTCGGAGCTCGCTGTGTCCCTGGGCTCTCAGGGGTGGTGGATGGAGAGGGGAGGTAACGCCAGGCTGCTGGCTTTGGGGCACTGAGGTTTGGGGGGGGCATGGCCTAATTAGACTGAAACCCACCATCCAGGCTCTCTGGGAAGCTCTGAAGGCTTTGTCCCTGTGGGGCAGTGATGGAGCTGGGTGCTGGACACACTTGTCCTGTGTTGTCCTCGTCCCCAGCCCCGCTCCGACAGCGGCGCCTTGGTGTGCGAGTGGCTGCTCGATGAATTCATTGATGGAAGGTTTTCTGTTTCCTTTTCTTTCTCTTTTTGTCTCAATATCAGGGCCCAGGAGCCCTGTGGGGCACCATGGGGCTCGCCATGGCACTCTCAGTAATGTGCCTGCCCCATCCCGTGCCCGTGGGTGTGATGGGGACAGGGTGTGGAGAGTGGTGGCCCTGGCTGGAGGACACACTGGTCCTTGCTGCAGCTCTCACTGGGGTGTTTCTCTCGGAGTTACTGGCCCTGCTGTGGCTTTGCCCAAGTTTTGGGATGTCCAGACTGGGTCTCCTCAGCACCCCTCTTGCTCTTGTTCTTTCTCACCCCTTTTTCCCTGTTTTCCCCATTTTCCCGTGCACAGCGGTGTCCGGATGATGCACACACACATCCCCTCTCTGCCCTTCTCCTGCTGCCTCCTGCAGGGACCCAGGCAATTCTGGGCAGAAAAGTAGTAAAAAACAAACTCCAGAAGAATTTTGCTCCAAACTTCACTGGGTCAGGGCAGTTTGTTTGTGGGAATCGTGTGTTTTGCCAGCGTTGGCAGTGCCTGAGCACTGGAGCTCCGGGCAGCGATGGAAGGAGGCAAAGTAAATAGGGTGCGTGGAGGTTTGCAGCAGGAAGGGGAGGAGGAGGTGGTTTTGTTTAAAATACTCCCATTACAGTCAGTTAACCTTTATGTTACCTAAATGAAAATTGTATAAACCTGAAATTTGCGCTGATGGGGTTGCCTAGGAACAGGCAGTGGGTTTTCATAAGACAATGAACACACAGTCACCGATCGGGCTGTTGGGTGCCCAGATGGGCATCATGATACCCCACAGCCCCAGCTTTGCCCGGGGGAGCTGCCCGCTGGTTTGGGGGTGATGGAGGGGATGCAGGAGCCACCACCCTGCTCGGAGCTGACCCTCCTGGTCCCCCAGGACAAGCAGCCCCATTCCCGTGGGCTGATGCCATGGTTGAGGGCAGCGGGGCAAAGAGGATCGAGGAACTGGTTGAAGAACAAAGTTAGAGGCATAAAAGCTCAAAGCTCTGGGTTCAGCCCGAGACCCTGACCCTTAAACCAGCAGTTCTTGTGGTGTAAACTGTACAGGTGGGACCTGGGTCTTCCACACACCATGTGTGTCTGCACATCTTCCTGCTCCTTAGAGCACGGACCAAGGTGTGGAGCTGTAGGAGTGGGTATAACTCTGGTGAGCTCCAAACCAACTTACCAGCGCGGCCGTAGCACCGGTGCCAAGGGGAGCCGGGCAGTGCCAGAGCTGGAGAGCATGGAAAAGTGCTTTATTTCTCCCTTCTCCCAGCCCAGAAGAGGCTGGGAAGCAGCCCCTGGGGTTCCCGGGGGTCCTGGCACCGGCGGGGCTGGGTCACTGCCTCTCACAAGGTGCCGGTGGAGACTCACACCGTGGTTCAGGTGGCATTAAGCAGCTTCAGAAGGCAGCAGGAGTGACTGGAAGTGAAAGAATGCAGATCGTTTATTAATAGGGTTTACGGAAATTTTCTGCCGGGTAGAAATATCGATTCTTTATTCCTATTTTAAAAGAAGCTTTTTGTACTGATCACCAGGAGTCGTTTGGTGTCATCGATTGCCACGGAGCCGTGCTGGAGCCCTCCCTCCCTTCCCTGCGTGCCCGTGGGAGCTGCTGGGAGGGCAGGCAGCGCAGGGTTTCCCTCCAGGAACACGGCGACTCCTTAAATCAGCATTTCTGTCATCATCCCGGCGGGGTTTGCCGTGTGTGTTTAAAGAGACGTAACGCAGTTGCGCTTTTAAACCCATTTACACTATTCTTAAAGTTCACCTTTGAGGGGGAGGCGTTTGGGGGAGAGGAGGCAAGATGCTAAAAATAAAGCTCCCCCCCCTCCCCGCTTTTAAGTAGATCACTTCTGCATTTGACATTTACATGGAATTCATTTGCATCTCATTTGTACATGTTTCTGCTCAATAGGTAGAATGTAAGAAAGCACAACCTAAAGAAGTGATGTTTCCACCAGGGACGAGAGGAAGGGCGCGTGGATTGCCGTACACCATGGACGCTTTTATGCTGGGGATGGGAATGTTGGGTAAGTGCCGGAGCCACCACACGTGTCCCCGCAGCCAGCGCCTCCCCTCCTGTCCCCCCCGTCCCCCCCAACTGCCCAATCCTTCAGGGGTGAGCACATCCCTGCCCCTGCGTGGGTGCCGGGCTAAAACTTCAGCACGGGGTGGAGTGGGGAAAATAATCCTGTCTGTGGTAAATGATTAACCTCCCCCAAGCCCCCTTCCCGGAATATAAAAATTTGCATTTAAATGGATGTTTTAAATAGCCTGTTTTACTCTTCCTCGCAAAAAATAGAATGATGAAAGATGCAGTGTGTTCATTCTGACTAAAAATGATCTCTCCCCTTTTTTTAGAGGAATTGAGTCACACATTATTCCCCTTCTTTTAAAGGTATCTTTGACAGTTCAGCATAGATAATTGAAAATCTTGCCGGTTCTTAAATGGCATGCAAGATGGAGAAAGCAGGGAGCTGTGTAACAGTGTAGGTCGCAACAATAATTACAAGTTTCAAGGAGATGGAACGGTATTTCAGTCCAGAGTATTGTGTCCAGAAAATACTAATTAAATGGGATAAATGATATTTAATGGCAAAATTCTATTTGTGCACGAGGTCTATTTAGTTAAGATTGGTTCTCATTTGTTTCTGCCTAGATAGTTCTCCTTCCTATATAATGTGACAACCTCTTGATGCTCTGTCCTCGGATTTACTAAGCCAAAACACTGTTGATCCATTGCCAACATATTTTTGTAAAAAAACCCCTATATTTTCAGCTCTCTGCTCCCTTTGTATCACTGGCCTTTCCCTTGGTTGTCACCTGCTGTGTCCCTTAAAGCGTGCGTGAACGAGAGGGCATCTGGAGGTGCTTGTTCCTGGGCAGAAATGAGCATTTCCCAGCCTGGTGTCCCTGGTACCTGACCCCCCTGGGATGCTTTGAATCTCGTCTCCAGGGTTTGGATGGTCCCAGAAGCTGAGCACACACAAAAAAACAGCTTTAAAAGCTGGTGCTGAGTTATCCTGAGCTGTGCCGAGCAGGTCCAGGGGCTCCCTGAGATGCTGGAGGACCCCAAGGCTCCAGGGGTGGGTGTGGGGTCAGAGGGCTGGGTTCCCGTGAGCATCAGGCTGTTGGGTTGTGGGGTCTGACTCGAGGCACCGCTTGATTTGATAGGGAAAACTTCCCTGCCATGTTTGCTTTATCTCTGAATTAATAGTACTTCTGTTCGCGTGGCTGGAACGATCCATTTCTGGGATGTGTAATTGGGTTATTTCAGCTGATCATCTATTTTTCTGTCCCCACACTCCACCGCCACCCTGCCCCATAGTGTCTGGAAATTACATTTTACGGTTAAAATATTTATCTTGTTCTAGTCAGCCTGTGATTTCGTTACCTGTGTTGCTCCCTGTGTGCTTGAGCAGAATATGCACTTTATTTCCGCTGTTTCTCTTTCTTTTCTGCTTGGGGTGCCTGAGGTTTGGGGTGGTGGGGGTGGTGTGTGCCACCTCGCTGCCCAGTTCCACCCAGCTCACCCCAAAAAAAGACCCAGGGCAGCATCTTCCCTCTTCTGCTCCCCACGGGCAGAGATGCCTCAACCTTCCTCCTCCTCGCAGCCGGGATGGAGCGGGGTCCTCTCCAGTGACCTGCAGGGAAAATTCAGCCCTTTTCTGTGGCGTGAGTCATTCCCAGCGGGGCTGCCCGGCTGGAAAAAGATCCTTTTGAGCCATAAGAAGGGAAGGAGCCCTGAGTGATGGGGTCTGAGTGGCACAGGGCATGATGTGGGTTCCTGTTGGTAAAGCCCCATCCTGCTGCCGTGGGGAAGGTCAGGTCACCCCGACCACCTCTGCTCCGGCCCCTCTCCCAACGTGCTCTCATGGAGATGTCAGATCAGGATGGCTTGCTCAGAGTTAATGATTGACTCATGTTGAAGGCCAGATGCTTCGTTATCTGCTCTAGCTGGGGGTTTTTGTGTCATCTTCCGAGTTTCTGCTTGCTACAGGGGCACCGTGTTGAATAATTAAGTGCTAAACAAGGAGGTTGTGGGGCAGGAGAGGGAGGCTGGCTGGCTGGCCATTACACATCCCCACTTCCAAAGAGTTGGCTCCGAGGGGGCCGATGGGCGGCTCAGCAGGAGCCCCAATCTCTCCTTCCCAAGCCCCAGCAGCTGCCTGGCCCGTCCCCATGGGGAGAGGGGTGTAATTAACCCATCAAACGACGAGGTGCACAAAGTCAGGTACCACCAGAGCAGCCTCTGCTGCGGCCGAGCCTTTTGCTGCCGTCCCAGGAGAGCGGTGTCAGCCCTACCCCGTCCCTCCTCCTCCTCCTCCTCCTCCCTGCCTCGAAAGGCAGCCGTTTGGGCTGCTCTCGGAAGGATTTTTATACCTGTTTCCAGAAGCCCTTCTTCAAGGTCACCTTCTCCAGATGCTGCTCATGGGCAGAGGAGGGAATCGGAGGAACGAGAGCATGAGACAAGCCAAAGGAAAGAGCAGGGAGCGCCTCCCTCCAAAGCTATTAAGGAAGTTGGTCTTTTTCATTAATCACAGCCTCCCCAAGGAGCCTGCCGCAGCCGGGGTCTAAAGGTGCGTAGGCAGCCGCTTCTGTGATGATTTGGTTGATTGGAACAAAATTAAAGTGTTCTTCTGAAAGGATTTTTTGACTCTGAGAGCACCGGCAGGTCCAGCCTTTCTCCAGGACTGTTCTGGGCTGGCTCGGGCTGGTGGGACACGGACGGTCTCGGTGGAGAGGAGGAACGTGAATTAGCCACCCTGCACGAGGAGCGGGCTGGAGGGGTTTCAGTGCCCGTCACCCCTCTCTCCCTGGCAGCTTATCCAGCAGGAATTGCCACTCCCCGGCCCCATGGATGCTTGTCAACAGGCACCATGTCCCCCCCTGCTAGCAGTGGACACATCTGCAGTGGTTTGGTGGCCAAGAAGCTTGCCATGTGCCCAGAAGTCTCACCTCTGTCACCTGGTCCTGGTGTGCAGACCCCATCACCCGTGGGGCACGTGGTTGTCACTGCCTTGTCCCATGGCTTTCTGCCCTCTGTTCAGGTCTGTGCCTGAAAACTTGTGTCTCCAGGGGCACAGATCCCCTGTGCAGAATGGAAGGTTGGACACTTTGCCCAGTTTCTCCTTTTGTGGAACGCCTGCGATGCTCGGGTTTTACAACAGGCCCACCAGGGTGGGCTCTAGGACCAGGAGTGGAATCATGGAATGGTCCAGGTTGGAAGGTACCTTTCAGATCGTGGAGTCCAACCATTAACCCAACACTGCCAAACCCACCACTAACCCATGTCCCCCTTAGGTACACTGTGAGTAAAAAAGCCAGTGTTACCTGTTTGTGGTTGGTTTCATCCTGGAAGTGGAGCCTTTGCCGTCCCCTGGAGACTTCCTGCACCCCATGGTTGCCCACACGCTGTGATGGCAGTGGACTCCATGGCTACATCGTGTGTTGTTTTATGAAGAATGTGATGGCCGGGTGAGCATGACCATCATGGTCAGGGTGGTGGTTCCAGCAGCCATCTCTCTCACCTCACGTACCAGCCCTGGGGAGGACCTGGAGAGCATCAGCACAGGGCAGGATGGGGGCCCACTGCAAGATGGAGCTGGGCAAGGCTCCAGCACAGGGGCTGGAAGTTCAACCAGCCTCAGGGTGAGTGCTTCAGACCTGCTGCCGTTGATGTCGGAGACAGGAGCAGTGGTGTGAGAGCAGTTTTGGTTGTTGGTTTGAGTTCTGCCTCCACGGACAGGAGGGTCTCGCTTGGGAGGAGACAATCCAGGCAAAACTTGGATTTTTGGTTTAGCAACAAGGGATAATTAGAGAAGTCGATCATGCCCCAGGACTGCTGAAGCAAATAAACTGTTCGGTGCCCAACGCAGGGTGGGAATGGCATCTAATGGAGATGGTGGGTAGGTCAGTGTGGCCATAATTTGGCTTGATGAAGCATCCACATGGGCATGGTGTTAATGCGCTATTGATATTCAGCCAGGCAATTTCCCCTGCGCGGATCGGGCTTTGGCTCGTTAGAGCAGAGCTGGGCACTGCAGCAGTAAATGAAGAGGAAAATTGAAGTAATGTTGTATTATAAATTTATGATTTCATCTGCCTGACCTAGAGAGCGTTGAGCGCTGGCGATGCAGCGAGAGCCCCCCCGGGCAGCTCCGTTGGGCAGAGCTGGGCTCGGGCTCGGAGACTGGGACCACTGCCCTGGGGTTGGAGGCAAATGCCCTGGGGCAGGAGCATCCCTGGCCCCGCAGAGCATCCCGGGGCAGGACAGGTTTGGCATCCTGCTCCAGAAACACGCTCCAGAAACACCATGGGATGTTGCATCCAGCACCGCGCTGGTGGTGGCAGTGGGCACCGCACCTGCAGCCCCTGCTCCCTGGGGCATATCGGTCCCCCCCAGCCATCGTGAGCTGACAGATCTGCTTTGGGGTCATTCGAATCAGAATGAAACTTACTTTTTGCAGTTGGCGAGGAGAAGGGCCGTGGTCAGATGCTGCAGAGCGAATTTCCGTGGGGCAGCTCGCAGCGGTGTTAATGGCGCTACTTACTTAGCAAACAATCCATTTATCAATATTGTTGTTCTTTTAAAAAAAGGAAAAAAGATTTGTAAAGCTTAACTCTGAAAAGATCTGATTTAATGACAGAGGTGATTAATTTCTAAGGGAATCCAGCTGTTGAGCTGTGAAATAAGCAGGCAGGGGCTCAGCAGTGTGTACACACGGCCCGGCTGCTTTCCCCCGGCACCGCTTCATCCCGCATCAAAATCCAGCCAAGCATTTCTTATCTTCCAGTTTTAGATCATGATTAGTAGTACATTATATGTATATACAAGTCTAATCAGAAACGGAGGGGTTTGCCGCAGCAGAAAAATAGCTGTATGATGTCTGAGGATATTAAAGAATAAAGAAAAGCCGGGATAGGAGACCCCCAGAAGAAGCATTCGGCTGCTAAAGCTCTTTTGGGATCCAGCTCGGCTGCTGCTGCTGTCACTGCTGAGATGTCCACTGACTTCAGACGGAGTGGCAGCAAACTTTTCCTGATGGTTTCTTGTTCTGGAGAGGTCTTTCCTGGGGACAGAGGAGCCTGGGCTGGCACTGAGCCAGCGGGGGCGTTACGCAGCATTTACTGCGCTGGAATTGCAAAGGGTGGTTCTGTTTTTAAGCAATCAGGGTGATGAGATGCTGAGCACTGCAGGTGAGGGTACAGTTGTAGGAACTCTCTGGAGTGTCCAGGATGGCTTGTGGCTGGTGAACTGGTCATAGCAAACAGCCACAGTGGGACCAGAGAGGACGGGTCTGTTAAATCACCAGAGAGGATGGGTCTGTTAAATCACAGGGGGCTCACAGCGTGTGGAACAGTCCTGCTGCCCCGAGAGGGATCCCCTCGGCCCTGGCCGGGTGTTGGGGTGACAGCCGTGGGGCTGGTGAGGGATGCCCTGGGTGACACCGCGACGGCCTCAGCCGAGCCCCCGTGGGTTGGTACCATCAGACACCTCGGGAGCATCCTGCACCCTCCACCAACGCTGCCTGTGCCCCTGCCGCTGTGGCAGAGCGGGCAGAGTGGCCACTTCATGCATTTCCTTGGGCATCTTTATTAGCAAAATGATCTCAAGGGGTACTTTTCTCATAACAAAACTTCAAAGGGCAGGACGCGTTTCTGCACCGTCTCAGGAGCTGCTTTGGGAAGAGTTCTCCTGGCTGGGTTTTACTTTCCGGAAAAATTAAAAGCTCTTGGACTCTCTGGCTGGTTGCTGTTGCTGCCTCCAACTCTTTGATGTGTTAACTGTTGTCCTTCACACTCCCGGGATAAAGAATTACTACTACCTTAATCTCCAACTGTCAATAGCTCTGAAGCAAAGTACATTCATTGTAAGCTCTCCAAATGTCAGAGCAAACCTGTGTTATGTGTTTAGCCTTAGCATTTGGCATTTACTCTTCCAGCTAACAAGTATGCACAGTCCTTGGACTTCAGATACCAAAGTGCATGTTAATTACCTGAGTGACAGGTCTCCTGCACGATGCCAGGCAGGGGGGGGGGCAGCTCGAGATGTTCCCATCCAGATAATAATGACACCTCTCTGCAGTTTTGCATGAGCAGAATAAATCCGGGGGTTTAGAACCTGCTGTAAAAGCGAGTCCCACCCATCCTCCCTGTCATTTTGCATCGTATTTAAAAACAAAAAGCCTTTATTAATCTTCAAACTTCTTTCTCTGCAGTTTTGCATGAGCAGAATAAATCTAGGGGCTTAGAACCTGCTGTAAAAGCGAGTCTCACCCATCCTCCCTCTCATTTTGCATCGTATTTAAAAACAAAAAGCCTTTATTAATCTTCAAACTTCTTTCTCTCTTTTTCTTTTCTTTTTTTTTTTTTATTTTTACTTTTCTATGATCAAGGTTACCCGAATTTTGTTGCAACGTATGGCCGAGGATATCCTGGATTTGCCCCAAGTTACAGCTATCAGTTCCCAGGTACGTACATTTCATTTGCAGATTTACTTTTTTCTCCCCTCTTTCCTTCTTTTTTTTTTTTTTCTTTTTCTTTTTTTTTTAAATCCTTAGCTGCAAGCTGAGACAGGCAAGTCTGCAGGGAGCATCTCACACAACAACAAGCTTTTTTTTTTTTCACTGTTTTAAAACAAGATATTTCCAGATACATATTCTAAATACGTTTTTACTGACGTGTAAATTGGTACTGGTTATTTGAAAACAAACTTCTTAACTTAAAAACATGAAGCAACAGAGCTCATTTAAGAGCTCCTACCCTCCCTTTGATGGGTTTTTCCTTTCATTTGTGTGGTGGAGGTGCACACACAGACCCGCAGACCCGCACACACCTTCCCACGCTGTCCTGTGGTAAGTGAATGCTCTTTGCGAGTGGAGTTTTGGAGTGAAAAGTCCAGCCTTCCTGTGTTCTCTGTCGAGGTTTTCTGTTGAGAGCTCACCGAGGAGTTTCTAGCCGCGTGGTGGTGGTTCGGGTTGGCTTTGGTTTGGTTTCCCCCGTCCCTGTGGCTGCCTGTGGGTGTTGGGAAAGGCCCATTCCCATTCCAGCAGGTCCCTCTCGGGGCACAATCCCCTTCCCTTTCACCCAGGGGTGCCCGGGCAGCCGGAACGAGCAACGCGACGCGGCCGTGCTTAGGCCTCGCTGGTGGCTGAAGCCACCGGGCCCCGCGGTGAGGAGACCCGGGTTACATCCATGAGCACACTTGTCCCGGGGGTCACACAGGAGCTGTCCCACCACCCCGTGCCACGCTCCTCGGTGGCTCAGAATGGGAGAGGTGGGAGCAGAGCTGTGCTGGGGGTGGGTGAGAAAGCCAGTGGGCACCGGTGGGCTCAGGGGGGACACACAGCCCCCCCAGGGGAAGGTCCCATGGGTGGATGAGGCTGTGGAGGGATGCTCAGCTCCACCTGGGGCGAGGATACAGCCGTGTGTCCAGCGCCAGGGCGTTAGGGTGAAGCATCCCCCTGGGAGCACGTGTTTTATTGACATCACACGGGGAGCAGTGTCCTCGGTGCGGTAGTTTCTGTGGAGTCGGTTTTTGCAGGATTAATGACACCAAGGGAGAGAGCGCTTGGTAGGGTTGGGTTTTTTCCAATTTCTAAACTTCACAGATGCTGGAGCTCTGCTGTAAAGTCCTCTGCTCCTTCCTCACCTGTCCCACCTGCTCCCAGACGGAGCCAGGTCCGAAATATTCGGAGCGTCGGGGTGCGTGGGGCAGGGGGGGTGGCAGTGGTGGGTGACACGGCTGGAGGTGTCACCACCTCTGGGGCTGGTGGGCAGAGGTCCAGGCGGGCAGGGGCTGCAACCCTTCGGGCCTGACCGTGAGGAGGAGGCTTCAGAAGGCGTTTATGTGTTGTCTCACGCGTGACTCCTTGTGCCGGCTGATTTGTATGGAGAGAGCTAAATGAGAGACACCTTTGATAAGTTAAATGATGAAAATCGGCAGAGCTTAGATGGCTGTAATTATAAACATGTCTAAAACGAACGTGTCTGCCAGCTGACAGCAGAGGTACCGTTTGACTCGAGCCCTCGTTATATGTATTTTTATTACGGGCCTGGTTTTTCCAAGCAGACCCTGCAGTTATTTGCTAGTTATTTTAAGTCTCTTGCAGAGATTGAATACGCAGAGGAAAACCAAAGTGGGCTGGCACCAGTAAAGAGCAGGTCCATCTCGTTGCAGGCACGGGTTGTGCCTTGGGGAGCAGGGCAGGGGAGGGGAGCTGCCGAGTCCCCTGTCCTCATCTTGGCTTTCTCTGCCCGGAAGCTCTGTCCCTGGGGTTTGCTCCACTCCCACTCAGATAATATGTTCCTTAACAGCCGTGGGAGTCGTTACTGGTAGTGATGGGCAGTTTATCTCAGGTGACTGGGGGCTCCTCTCTCCCAAACTCCAGCCGTCAGAGCAGCGTGGGGCGCAGGAGCCCTTCCTGCCACGGGGACACGGAGCGGGGTTTGGTGCCCATCAGGACGGGGTATCCCCCTCGCTGGGGGCAAGTGTTTGGGGACAGAGACCCCAGTGCAGGGTGCCAGGGAACATTTCGGGAGCGGGTCAGGATTTGAGGAGGGGGTGTGCCAGCACTGCTGGCTCCCCCCATGGGGACGGCGGTGGGAGTAAGTGCCTCTCACAGGGTTGTGTCCTGTCATGTCTCAGGTGGTTCTTCCCGCTCTCCTTTCGCCCCTCTCTGCTGGAGGGAGTCACGTCCATGGCACAGGGCTCGCCCAGCCCTCCTTCCTCCCACAGACACCCCTGGGAAGGGATGGGATAGACAGCCAGACCCATCAGCCATGGGGAAGGGCGTTCATTTCCCCAGGACAAACAGTGCTGTGGTTCCACCACATGGTCCTGCTCCTCGAAGGAGCCCGAACCCCCCAACCCTTCCCTTCGCGTGGTTTGACGCTTTGCAGAAGTGCCCGTGGGGCCGTGGTTTGGAGCCTGAGACAGGAGCACGTGCGAACCCGGTGGAGGGAAATCTGAAATCTGCTTTTTTAGTAAGTTGTCGTGGCCAAATGCTTGGTGTCGTGGTTCGAAAAGGAAGATCCTTGGTGGTTTCTGCAGGAGCATCCTGGGCAGCCTGCCCCAGAGCTGCCTCCCACCCCCCGGTACCCAGACAGTGGTGGTGGTGCAGCCACCGTGGGGTGTGTGTAAGTGTAAATACACACATAAAACATAGAAACACCCAGCCGGGTTCCTGTGGTTGGTTGCAGAGACCTGGCAGTGGTTCTCCCCGCAGTAGGGTTGTGTTGTGACTGCTGTACCCTGGTGTCTGCGCCGCGGTCCCTTGGGGTGGTCCCTGGTGGGTGTCGTGTCCGAGCGGTCCCACTGCAGGGTGGGCATCAGTCTGGTTCCTCCTCAGGTTACACTAGGTACTTTTTTAATTGAAAAAAAACCTAATTGAATGCCCATCTGAATTGTACTGTCCTCTTGGTATTTATGGTTCTCCAAGTGAAACCAGGTGACAAATATCTGACCTCCCCATGTGCATCTCCAGTCCCTGTGGGGCTGGTGGCCGCGTCCCCTGGCTGGTCCCTCTCCCGCATCCTCTGCTCTTCCCCCTTGCCCCACGGGTGAGACACACGCAATCACTTTGGCAACTGCTCTATCTTCTCCCATCGTGTTATTTTTTTCCTCTAGGCCTTTATAACTCAGTACATAGCCTTTGTCTTTTTTTTTTTTTTTTTTTTAATTTCTGGGACTTATCTTTTCAGTTTAATCTATTAATTTCTGTTCTTATTTCACTTTGCAGACTATTTGCCGATTTCACAAGACATAATTTTTATCAACTAGTTCTTAAAGATGCATAACAAATTAATCGGGGTTTACTACAGTGCTAATGAGAGAGAGAGACAGAAAAAGCCTGGGTGGTCCATGCTTAATATCAATGTCCACTGAAAAATTGCTGCTCTTACTGGCTGGTTTGATTGACTGGACTTTTTATTTTATTTTTATTTTTTTTAAAAGGCTCCATATCCTCACTGCTTTGAGTTTGCTTTTTATTTTATTTTTTTTATTTTAATTTTTTTTTTCCTCTTGCTTTGTTATGAGTTTTTTAATGCCCACTTGGAATGTAACTCACAGGGATTGGGGATAGGGGCGTTACGAAGGCATGACTTCTCACAAACTTGTTAGAAATAATTCTCACCAAGGAAGCAAAACTGACGATTGGGTCTTAGAAACAGCCCCAAAGAGAGATGCTGGCGCTTTTTTAACGTAGAGACGTTCAATAGCAGCACAAAATCTCCCGTTGCTGGGATCGTTAGCGACGCAGGGTTTAATTACTGGCAGCGAGTGCCCTGTGTCCCCAGGTGTGACCCTGTGGCGCTGGTGGCCGCAGCCGTGGCAGCCCCAGACCCCTCTTTCCTCCACGTCCTTCCCTCTGGGCCGGTGGCGGCGACGCTCCCCCCTGCTTCTGCTTCCAGGCTTCGCTTGCAAATCATGGGCAAATTAACTCAAATTCTGGCAAAAGGGACGAGTGGTCCCCGGGCAGCTCGAGCTGTGTCGCGCCTCCTCATCTCCCCCCCTGCGGCAGAGGAGCTGCAAACCTCTGCGAGGGAGAATGGCCATTGGCTTTACTTTTAACCAGATTCTGGGCTTCTCGGGTAGAAAACGCGCACCATATTTAAATTCTGGCTTTCTTGAAGTGTTTCTACCCATTTTTTATAAGTTTGTGAGAAGTAAATTGCATGCTTACAGTAGAACTGTAATGCATTTTAATGTTTGTTAATCCACTTGTTTAAAATGTCAGTGTCAAAGGCTCTACGGTACACGGCTATGCTGTTCATTTCATTAAAGATGCTTGATGTAATAATTGGTTAGTTTTCTTTTTACTTTTCTGCAGGCAGTAGCTTTTTTTAATCTGTATGGCTTCTTATTATTTTGTTTGGGTTTTTTTGCTATGAATTGCTTTGCTTTTGTGAACTTGTCTTAGTGTGCATGATTTGCAAACATTTCGGCTATTGTGAATTTTCTCATTTTTTGTAAATAGTCCATGCGCTGGTGGCCGCAGCCGTGGCAGCCCCAGGTCTCTTTCCTCCACGTCCTTCCCTCTGGGCCGGTGGCGGCGACGCTCCCCCCTGCTTCTGCTTCCAGGCTTCGCTTGCAAATCATGGGCAAATTAACTCAAATTCTGGCAAAAGGGACGAGTGGTCCCCGGGCAGCTCGAGCTGTGTCGCGCCTCCTCATCTCCCCCCCTGCGGCAGAGGAGCTGCAAACCTCTGCGAGGGAGAATGGCCATTGGCTTTACTTTTAACCAGATTCTGGGCTTCTCGGGTAGAAAACGCGCACCATATTTAAATTCTGGCTTTCTTGAAGTGTTTCTACCCATTTTTTATAAGTTTGTGAGAAGTAAATTGCATGCTTACAGTAGAACTGTAATGCATTTTAATGTTTGTTAATCCACTTGTTTAAAATGTCAGTGTCAAAGGCTCTACGGTACACGGCTATGCTGTTCATTTCATTAAAGATGCTTGATGTAAT